TGCCATCTCACTTCACTGTAGCCCCCTGATGAAGGCAGATACAGTAACAATTTAAGCCAACTTTCCATCGAATCTTAGGAAAATGTTTTCAGAAAGAAAGTTTACAGAGATAAAAATGTATTGTGAAATGCAGCTGTTTTCACTAACTGCAGAATGCTCTATTAAACAATTAAACATCCCTCAATTAGCAAGTAGACTAGTCTTGACCATGTGACTTACTGTGAATGGGACTTCATTCCAAATGGCAAACTTAAGTTTTTTTTCTTACATTTGTGAGCCAAGGCACCCCCTTCTTGTGGGAGAGCTGACTAAACTCAGCCTGACCCCTAATATCATAACCTTCAGAGGGTTCACAAGCCATCCACCTCCACCCCCCACATCTTAGTTTCCTCCTCAATTCAGCAGTCTTCCATCTCTGTACTCCAACATCCACATCCATGTTTGACCTCATAAATTGCAAAGACGGTCAAATCGAGCCTTTATCAATCATCAAAAGCAATCAATTCATATAAAACATTTCTTAATTTAGTATTTTGGGGCTCATGAGGAAGAAAATGTATTGTATATACACAGTGGAATACTATGACACTAGTCACAAAGAACCCAGATAATCATCTGTCTGCTCTTCCCCAAACACCCAACTTCCTTTCTTCATTCCCACTCTCCAAAGTTAAAAAGCATAAAACAGTTACACCTTTAGTTATCCTTTTGGTTTGAAAGTATCTTTATTTTGTATTCATACTTGGTTTTTTAATTCTTTTATCGAAACGTGATTGTACATATCTGTGGGGTACAGCATTGAATATCAATTCCTGTGTGCAATATTTTGCATTCATTCTTGAATGATAGCTTTTCTAAGTGCAGAATTCTAGATTTACGATTTTTTCCCTCAACACTTAGAGGATATCATTACATTATCTTCTGGCTTCTACTTTTGTTGTTAAAATATAAACCATTTGTCTTTTCTCTACAATTGCCCTCCTGCCAAAAAGTCTTCAATATTCTGCAGTTTTGCTGTCATGTATATAGTAGGGACGTCTTTTCATGTATCTGTATTGGCTTCCTATACTCCTGTCTGAGGATTTGTTTACTTCACTAATTTTGGAAAGTTCTCAGCCATTATATCTTTGAATATTGTGCATTCTCCATCCTAATATCTTTTTGTGAGCTTCTGATTCAACATATGTGAACTTTTCACTCTATCCCTCCATATTTCTTAACCATTCTTCTGTATTTTAAATCTTGGTCTCTTTAGGTCTGTCTTCCATTTCAGTCCTCCCTTTTGCTCTGTCTAATCTGCTTACTCAACCTGTTATATTTTAAATTTTAAATTACTATATATGTATCATTTATAGATCTCTTTGGTTCTTTTTCAAACCTGTCTCATCCATTTTGTTTCTCTTCATCCTATGTCATATTTTCAATCTCCTCTTATTTTAGTCTACACAGTAGACATTTATTTCATATTCTTTACGGAAATTCTAATATCTACAATCTTTGAGGGTTTGTGTAATTTGTTTTACAGTAGCCGCTTTATCTGCAGTTTCAGTTACCCACTGCCAGCCACAGCCTGGAAATATTAAATGGAAAATCCCAGAAATAAAACAATTCATAAATTTTAAATTGTGCACTGTTATGAACAGTGTGATAAAATCTTGTGCTGTCGCACTCTGTCCCACCTGGGACATGAATCATCCCTTTGTCCAGCATATCCACACTGTATACACTACCTGCCCATTAATCATCAACATCACCTCCTCCTGACATCTACCCATTATCATCATCACGGCTCAATGATCCAGGATCACCCAAAGCAGATGATCCTCCTTCAGATATATGGTCAGAAGGTCAACAGTAGTCTAACACTATGTCACAATGCCAACATCATTCACCTCACTTCACTCCTAGGCATTCCATCATCCCACATCATCAAAAGAAGGAAGAGTACAGTACAATTAGCTATTCTGAGAGAGAGACCACATCTACATAACTTACAATATAATGTTTTGTTATATTTTATTATTAGTTATTGTTAATCTCTTCTGTGCCTAATTTATAAATTAAACATTATCATAGATTTGAATGTGTAGTAAAAAAACATAGTGTATACGAGGTTCAGTACTATCCGTGGTTTCAGGCATCCACTGTGGGTCTTGGGACATATTCCCTGTGGATATGGGGGTGGAGGGAACTACCGTATTTGCTGACTCTCTTAAGGTAGCTTGTTTTTACATATGTTCACTTATATTAGAATGTGAGATCATGTCCTTGGGACTCTGTGGGGTATCTTAGAGCCCTTGGTTTAAAGAGAGTTCTTCCAGATGAGATTTGTGTTTGCTTCTGCTGGGTTCATTACCAATCCACTTTAAACGTCTGGCTTTTTTTCCCTTCAGCCCCGTATATTCAAAGCTAATATGAATTCTGGCTCCAGACCAGTGCAAGTATGGTCCTGTGGTTTAGCATTCTTTCTAATAGCTCCCACTGAGAGGATGCTGCCCTTTGTGAGTCCTTACATTATCCATGTGTCTCCTATCTGTCTTCCTAATCGCTTCTGGCCTCAGCCTTTATCTCCTGTGCCCCATGTTCACAGCCTATCAAAACTCGAGGCTACCAGGTATTGGCAGATACTTTCAGGGCACATGTTGAGTCTATAGCACTAACTGACTCTGGCCCCAGAAAAATTCCTTTACTCTCCTATCTGCTAAGCTACTTATTAAAATCATTTACATGTGTTTTAATATGTCTATCTTTTAAGATATAATATAAATGAACATGTATTTATATGTGTGTGTGTGTATATTATCTAGCACGTTTAGTTAAACTGTGTATCGGGGGCATTTCTAATCCTCCATGTTGCCAAAAATAGAAGCAGGCTTTTTTTAAAACAAGACTTAGAACTAATGAAATGCTACCTAAAATCAATCACTTTACTAGGAAACACAACAGTTTCATAAAAGCAGTTTTTAATTATATAGTGGCCAGTCTCACAAACGTTTCCAGTTATTAACTATACCACCAGTTCCCTGGGTATGCCGAAACTGACTATGCTGTAAATTAGGAGAACTTCCTTTTAACCCTAAAAATCATCCTGAAACTGATTCCTAAAGTAGTCTAAGGCAGAAAAATTGTCAAAAGGTTTATATTTGTTACAACTTAGTATGTTCAGATACAATAAACAGTATTTCTGTTCCTCACAAAAGCTCTCCTGTACTCAAATACAGAAAATGAGCCTCACAAAGGTTCAGTAACTCACTCAAAAGTCACACCTCTTTGAGGCTCAGATGAGTCTTCCCAACTCTTTACAACTTGTGCCATGATTTCACTTCTTGACTGGCAGACAAACCTAGGAGGAAATTTAATCCTGCCATCTCCAGGCTGGGGAGTATCCATCAGAAAGAAAAGGAATTACAGTTTATATGTGGCAAAATATGTGAAGTACACACAGTCCCCAACTTATGATGGTTTGACTTAACAATTTTTCAACATTACAATGGGTTCATTGGGATATAGCCCCATCACAAGTTGAGGAGCATCTGTATACGAAGAAGAAATTAGATGTTTTCAATGTGTAAAAAATCATTTCAAGAGAACATCTATTTGTCCTTTGTACACTCTAAAGGAAAAATGAAAGGAAGTCAAACTGTACCATGAGGCATTTTCTTCAAATTTTATTTCCTGATTATAAAGTTTATATAACTAACTAACTTGAAGTACAGGATAAATTTCTCTGTGTGATAACCTTCAAATAAACATGGACTGATCCTTTAAAAAAGTTAAAATATGTCCTATACAAACGGACATATGAGCAATGACCTCTTAATGAACAGAAACTTTTCCCAAGTAGTAGTCCAATTTTATTTCAAAAGAATTTTTACAATCAATAACCATGCTATACATTTGAGCCCTGAGATATCAGGTTATTACCTATAAAAATCTCATATCTAAGATACTGAGGAATCAAGTAGGTGATAAATTGGGAAAATGAATACTCTCATATTGCTCACTTTCCAGAGGATGGTTTAGCAATATCTATCAACATGTAAAACATATATATATTTTGACCCAGTAAATGCACACATGTACACAAAGATGGTTGTTATAACACTGCTGGCAACTCAGGGACCTGAGGAGGGTTCTAGCACTACTTCTGAATACTATATGTTAGCTAAAATGAATTAAGTAGCTCTATGTGAACTGAGTCCATCTATTTATAGTCCATTTATTTAAACCACATAAAACTATACAATTTCATATTCAATAAAAAAATACATAGAAAAATGACTAAAATGATACACAAACTATTAACAGTAGCTCTGGAGAAAGACATCAGATGGGGGTTAAAAATTTTTTCACATTATACAGAGATAATATTGGAAACATATAAAAGATAAATATATATAAAAATATTAAATAGTAATGGTGTCCACATATCTATGATATGCCTGCTACAGATTTCCTACATATCTCTTCCCCACCAAACACACAGACACACACTCTCCACACTCCTCTTCCTGACCTGAGAGTTTCTCAGCTGACTGAGAAACTACTCGGAGTACAAATGAGACCCACTCTCATATCCAGAAGCCAACAATGACTCAGGCCCTGGAAACCTATTCTTACATCACTCAAGGAAATGTTTTGACATTTATATGTATTTTTAAATACACAAGTAGTGTTTCCAATACAAATATATACAGTTGACCCTTGAACAACATGGGTTTCAATTGCACGGGTCCACTTAGATGCAAACTTTTTTTTAACTAACTGCAGATGGAAAATACACTATTTGTGGGATGCAGAACCTGCATATACAAAGGGCTGCTGTTTCTCCATATGTGTGGGTTCTTCAGGGCTGACTTCAGGACTTGAGTATCCTCACATTTTGGCTCCAGGGGGTCCTGGAACCAATCCCCTGTGGATACTGAGGGACAATTACACACATAATTTAAAAGGAAGTCAAATTGCAACACGAGGCATTGTCTTCAAATGTTTCTTCATACCTTCAATACCTTGAAATTCAGCATATTAACTCTGCCATTATTGCAAGTAACAGAGCTGATAAATAAGAGAAATTTTTTAAGGAGATCATATTTCTAGAAATGTCTAGAAACACAAGAACCACAGGTTATCTCTCTCCCAAAGGGTACAAAAATGAAGGTAAAATGGTAAAGGAATATACGATGGTCTCAACCAAAACTAAAATATAATACAACAAAAAATAATGTAAACCCACCTTACTTCCTTGAACCCCCTAGAGATTGAGAAATTATTTTATTAGCAGCAAAAACCCTGTCATATATTCCTTGAATTATTTTTGCAACAATTTTAATATATTTCCATTTAAAGCTACTATATATAGAGGGTCAATTTTAACCAGGCCTCATTATATTTAGAAAGTCACATGCATATCTGAATAAGACAGAAGTGACTATTCTATTTTAATCCTTAATATTAATTTATCCAATACCACATTATAGCCACTAACATCCATGAATCACATACCAAATGATTAATATCTACATTTGTAGATATTAGATCATGAACCTTAAAGAAGAGAAACTAGCAGGAGCATGGAAAATAAAAAAAAAATTTTTTAAGTAGGACATGGTAGGCGTGTAGGGTATTTTAACTACTTGATTTAATGAAACATTTGATGGATAAATGGAAGAATCTTGCAAAGAGCAGAAATTTAGAAAATAGAAAGTTACTGAGAATTTTGAGAAGTAGAACTGGGTGTTATCTTGAAAATAATAGAACTGGGGAAGAAATGCTTCCAAACTCTCAGCAGGGAAACTTCTAAGTGTAACAACAGATGAGGAGAGATTAAGTTGTGACAAAGATTGTTGATGAAAAGGGTAAAACATACACAGGTGTACTAACCAGGGGGAGGAGAGGTCACAAGTTGCCACTGTCATTAGGAAAAAATTCGCAACTTGGTACAAAAAGATTCCAAATTACCAAATCCACCTGACATAAGACAGTTAAAAAGGAAAAGTGAGACAAATGGTAGATTAAATGAAGGGCATACTGTGAATTGTTCCTCTGCAGGCAACCAATAATACCTGGTCCACCCCACTTTTAAAAACACTTAACAAGAAGACTACCCTTGTTAAAAGATTTCAGACTAAGACTGAAGGAAGAGACAATTTTAAATTTGCTTTCTGAGAGAGAGAGAGAGAGTGTATGTGTGTGTAAGAGGCAGGATTGCTGGCTAGAGGCATGATCCCCTTGTTAAAAGATTTCAGACTAAGACTGAAGGAAGAGACAATTTTAAATTTGCTTTCTGAGAGAGAGAGAGAGAGAGAGTGTATGTGTGTGTAAGAGGCAGGATTGCTGGCTAGAGGCATGATCCTGAGACTTCTACTTTTAGCCCTCACCTGAAAAGACCACACCAAAACCCAAAAAGACCACACCAAGGCCAAGAAAGCCTTCTGTTACCACCTGGCTAGTACAGTCCGCTTCTAACCCTCCTGCACACCATGAAATCACCACTAACTCTTGGTCAGCAGGGTCAATAAAAGTGTCTTTAGTACTATATCAATATAGAAATTTAGATCGGAGTTGACAAACACTGCAAGTGGCAAGAGAAATGGCAAAGGCCCACACAGATATAAAATTATTAGAGCCCCTGAGACTTCTACTTTTAGCCCTCACCTGAAAAGACCACACCAAAACCCAAAAAGACCACACCAAGGCCAAGAAAGCCTTCTGTTACCACCTGGCTAGTACAGTCCGCTTCTAACCCTCCTGCACACCATGAAATCACCACTAACTCTTGGTCAGCAGGGTCAATAAAAGTGTCTTTAGTACTATATCAATATAGAAATTTAGATCGGAGTTGACAAACACTGCAAGTGGCAAGAGAAATGGCAAAGGCCCACACAGATATAAAATTATTAGAGCCCAACATGAAGCTGGCCAGACAGGTCACTCCCGTTCCTTTCAGATTAGACCAGATGATATCACTGCAGCTCATGTTACCACGAAGACTAGCAGAGTGCCACAATACTTCACTTAGAGAAATCTTTTCTGCCCAACAGACAAAAGCAGAAAAGTCACATTTCCTTTGATATTCCAAGTCCTCTTAAGAGAAAATGATAGCAATTTCTATCATACAGCACTTAGGTGCCCATTTTAGTATGCTTAATTAAGGAAAGCTGAATATTTTTTACAAGTATAGAAACAAAAAACATGAGTATATTACTCTCCTGCTTCAAGTCCTTCACTAGAATAAACTGCGAAGCACAGAGTAACACACCTTCCTAGTCCCTACCAACCTCTCCAGAACCATCGCCTGCTAACAAACTAGTTATAGTTCTCAAAACACATGTTTCATGTTCTCTGTATTCATCCCTCTGCCTGGAATGAGCTTCCCACTTTTCTTTGATAATTATTACTCAAGTGTCAATTCAGCCACTGTATCCTAAAAATCTGAAGTTATCACCCTTTGTCTGCAGGGGAAAGACACCTACAGCACTCAATGAACACATATAAAGTAGCTCAATCTCCTTATGTTAAAATCATCTCTTACTAAGCCTCTTTCCTCCAATAGCGGAAAGCTAGGCAGAGGTGGAACAAGGATTTTAACAAACCCTCCAGGTGATTCCAGTGCAGCTCAAGTGTGAGAAACACTGGGGCAAAAGAGGGTGGTGTAGGGGTGAAGTAGTAGTCACAGCCACAAGCCTTAAGTGTCAGGTTCTGCCATTCAGAACAAGGGAGTTGGAAAGAGGTACTGGCCTTTAAGTCACATTCCTTTTAAATACGCTAAAAACTAATGTCCTTTCATAAAGTGAAGAATCTTAAAAGTATCTCCTATTTCATTCTATGTGTTGATATTTCCATATAGATATACAAGTATGTTTACAAAGAGGGTTGTCTACATACTGACATGCACGTGCAAGAGAAATACAGTAAGCCTGAACAAATTAATCTTTTTGGAGGCATAAAGGCTTATCCAGTAATGTCTACAATTAAACCATATAGAAGAAGCCATTCTCTCAAAGTGTAAAGCAGGTTTTACCAGGTACTTAAGTTCCACAGCCAGTCTAGTTATAATGGGTTTTCACTATCATAGAAGGCACTTCCTCAAACTCCAGCATTATTTACCTGCTTGTGGGTTGCACTTGAAAAAGGAAAATTACTTCTTCCATTCAATCAAATGTATTGCAATTCAACATCTAAATACAAGCCTGCCATAATCTAAACAAAGATAACACTGTATTGAATAACTAATTCATACAGTCGGAGATCAGAATTGATCAGAAACACTGAGCTTGTGCTTTTAAACATAACTAATTTAAATAAAAGCTAGAAAAAAAAATGAATCTCTTAAAGCAGTCAATGGTTTCTATACTGTACTATCACAAACAGACCGGCTAGCTATGCAGGATCTTAAATTCACCCTACCTAACAGGGTAGATATCAGCCCCCATATCTTGAGATAGATGTAATGCAACATCATGTTCCCACAATCCAGGTGACATAATGCAGTGGTTCTCAAAGTGTGGTCCCAAGATCAACAGCAGTGTCTGAAAACTCATTAGAAATACAAATTCTCAGAAGATGTGGCCCAGCATATGTGCTTTAACAAGCCTTCCAGATGATTCAAATGAACCACTAAAGTTTGAGATCCACTGGTCTAAAGAGAATCTTGACCTGGGAAGAGAGCTACACTGAACTACATGGGCTAATTGGCTTTTTTTCCCAAAAAAAACTGAGAATAATGATATTTTCATTGGCAAAAGCAATGGCAGTCCTGATAACTGAATGTCCTAATGTTGTAAGTATAGCCCCTTTTAAGTTACAGTAAATTCTCAAGTATTCATTTTAAACAACGAATAAGAACTCACTAGACATTACAAGTAATAAAGTAGGCCATTCATTATTGTTCTCACTTCTCCATTTAGGACCTAATGGCCACCACATCTAAAGTCCAGTAAGTCCTGGGGCCGGCCCGGTGGCGCACTGCTGCAGTGCTCCGCTTGGGAGCGTGGCGGCGCTCCCGCCGAGGGTTCGGATCCCACATACAGACCGGTTCCCGCTCACTGGCTGAGCGAGGGGCGGGCGCGGCACCGAGGGTTGCGATCCCGTTGCCGGTCCTGGTCCGGTACGGGTGCGACACTGAGGGTTGCGGTCCGTTGCCGGACACGAAAAAAGACAAAAAAAGGTAAAAATAAATAAATAAATAAAATAAAGTCCAGTAAGTCCTGTGATTTCAGTGATGGCAGACAAAGCACAAGAACATGCACAGAAGCAGAAAAGAAGGGAGGGCGGCGGGGGGAGAGAAAATAAAGAGAACAAATGTGAAACAGTCAAGACCAAAAGCCAAAACTGAAAGAGGATATTCTCATCCTAACATTTAACTCTGACTCACCTATACTGTCAACAAAAATGACCCCTTCTCCCCAATGTCAAGCATTATAATTTTATAATCAAAATTTATATAGAGGTAGGCTGTGGAGATACATAAACTAAAGAACAGGTTACACTATAATCCTAATAAACTACAGGCAACGTTTAGACTGAAATGTTTTTGCATTTGTGGCTACCTAAGTTTTAAAATTCAAGAGAAAAGGAATAGGAAAGTCTGTATCCAGCCAAACAGTATCCATAATAGAACAGTAATGCAAGGCTAGAGTTATGTACCAATATTATACAGCTCTGAAACTGGCAACAACTGACTCATTCTGGAAACACTGATGAAAATCATAATTTTCTAGGAAACTATAAGGTCTTCCTATAACTTCATCTCTACATTCAATTTTCCTTTCTCCTTGCTTCAGAACCTCATTGCTATACCAAGAGATCTTCTCATTGAAAACTATAAAAGGTAACTATTTCTGCTGCAAATCTGAGCTATGCAAATACTCACACTGATTTTAAAGAGGTTGTTTTTCCAACCATCATACAGGACTGTAGGTGGACAACTGCATGTGTACCAATGTAGAAACTTCAACAGGCTGATAAGCAAAAGCTTAAATACACTTAGGTAAAAAGTGCAATTGGAGTAATAGCGTATTTCAGTCAACTTACATACACTAGGAAGAGAAAGTAAG